AAAAAAAAAAAAAGGAGCTCCAGGAGCTCCCTGGTGGTGCAACGGGTTAGGACACAGCACTGCAAGGTGGCCACAGCCAAGTACTTCAGTGCTCATTCAATCCCTGGCACAGAGGTGACCCACACAGCACAGCAGACCTCTCTTGACTGTCTGCTGCTCCCCTCAGCAGGGTACTTCGTCAATCGGCCTGTTCTGCTCCCCACTCTGTCTCTGGTGAATCCTCTCGCCACCCCTGTACCTCTGGCCTGTACCCCAGTTCTGTATGCACAAATAATAAATAAATCTTTTTTTAAAAAAATCAAAAGCTTCTGTCCATAAGTTTTCCAAGGCATAATTACAGAATTTTAAAAGTAAGTAAGTGTTTTCTATTGCATCAATTCTCATTGCTAACTATATATAGCTTCTATAGATTTTAACCACAGCCAAATCTTTGTTTCGGGAGGGATAAATTTCATTGTTTCCCTCCCCCTAACGTGAGAAATTTTATCTTCAATAACTGAAATTGTAGAGATTAAAAAGTTGAAGATACTTTACCTCTGTTGAGAACTTTAATTGATGACATCCAACTGGCTAACAATAAAATGCAATTTTTAAAAGCCAGCGGCAACGCACGTACATACTGCCATGATTAAGCTCATTTTTCCAATTATCAACAACTTTATTCTCCAAATTCTGATACAGCTGACTGTAACTATATATGTGTGTATATACACTTATCTCTCTCTATATATATAGCCATGTGTGAACTTTTCACTACACTCACTATTTCGATTAGCAAAATACCATTATTATGCATGCACTAAATCATTCTACAAGCACTTTTGCTTCACAAGTATCTGACCCCAGTGAAAGCATTATTTAACATAATGCTGTGCTCCACCAAAATATTTCATCGTAGTATCATCTGCCTTTCCAAGTGTAATTTTTAAATTGCAGTCTCATTTAAAATGTTAGAAAAATCTATCTTGGACACAATAAACTTCCAAAAACTTTTCTTTGATTCATTAATTGGGTAAACATTTTCTGTAATCGCTATCGGAATCAAGTGACTTCCTGTGGACTCACCTGCTCACACTGACACAAAGCTGTCAGAGTGGAGTTGCCTGCTAAGTCCTCAGACTAACACTGTCACCTCCCCGCTGGCCCCTGCTTTACATTTCTCATCAGCTCAGGGAGCTCAGAATTTAAACGTAGTGAAATTAATTTAGGGTACCTGTCATTGGACCTAAATGAAGTCCTGCTGCCTGAAGTGATATGTAAACACACCTCCCTCAGCTGCGTGAGTTAAATCACGCACTTTGAAGACAGTCTTTTAAAAATTAGCTGCCCCTTCAGCAGATTTCTGCCTTCTGCTGCCGTATGCTGGTGACAGCCCTGGGGTGAGTGGTGGTTATTTTCTGCCATATATTCATCATCAACTTTCTTGCGAAACAGAAAATCAATATTCAATTTTATTAACATGCTTACACTAACCCCTGGATTCTGAAAGGGTTTACTGCAAAATAAAATAAGCATAACCAAACAATGGAAAAATTATAGATTTATCTCAGACTATAAATAACCCGGTTACTGTAGCAATAGTGTCTACAATCTTAGCAGGACTGTAGCCTCTGCCTCCTGTACACAGATCATTGACATTTGATCTTTAGTCTGCCCACAGCTGGTACCTGGCGGTTTCATGACTCCCAGGCTATGACATGAGCCCTCAGCCTGAGCCAGGACACGGCTCGCAGTCTACGCAGGGGTCAGCAGGGTTTGTGTGTCAAATGCATCCCCAGCCACAACAGAAAGCAGTAAGTATTGCTGGTTGCTCATACCCAGATGTGACCATCTAAAGCTAAATTGCCTTCCAAAGGGCTGACGTCCATTATCATATTGAGATTTTTCACCTATGAGTTTGGGCAGAGGCACAAACACTCCATCCACAAGAGGGACATTTAATCACAGCAATGACTGCTTGGATTTAAACATATCTGATGGAGAAATCTTTTTGAGCAAGCTGGCCTTTTAGTCTGTGAAACACCACAGCCAGGTGGTTTTTTAACCTTTGGACAACATTGGTCTTGCTTAATAAACATTAGATCATCCATAAATGTTTAACAAGATCAAGTTCATGCCATGTGTACAATTCTGGTTCCATTATTAAGTAGAGACAATGAATAAAGCCAGAAGGAGATGTGTGCTTGTGTCTAATTGTGTGTCCCCTAGACAGGATACTCATCAAAAGGGTAACGGTGGTTATTCTGTGAGCAGACATTAGCATGGACGGCACATTCTGTGTTTTCCAGAATTGTCTTAATAGTTAGGTAAGTACCATGTATTCCACATTGTGTGTAATAAGAAAAATGATTTCAACTTTTTTCAGAATTCTTAACCACTATGTGGATGACATCGGGGATGTGGTGACTGCCTTCAAGAATTCACTACATGTCACTCCCTTTGAATGAAAAGAATAAAAATTTCATTTCAGTAACACTACTTTTTTCCCCCAAAAAATCTTACCAGGGTAAGAAAATAACTTACACAATCTGAGAGGAAAAACTTATTTAGAAAGCACATGATATAGAAAAAACAAAAAGGACGGTGAGTAGAACTTAATGTGTTTTATAAATCATATAAACTCTTCATTGAAAATAATGTACAATTCAGAAATCAATTGATTCACAGACATAAGATCTGCAAGCCATTTGGACTCAAGACACTAAAGCTATTAAAGTCTTTAAATATTTAATTCTTTAAGAATCAAGTAAGTGGTAGCCATAAAACAAAATGAGAGAACATCTGGAAGGCAGAGAGGTTGAAAGATTGAAAATTAAAAAGCAAATGGTGTACTTAGTGCTACTGTGGGATTTCAGCAAATGGATAGAAACCCATCTGAAAATAAATACAGAGTTTGTGTAATTACAATGTGCCTGAAGGAAGATGGGTTTAGCTTTTATGCATCTCCTGGGAAGCTCGGGGAGTCAGAAACACGAAGCCCAAGCAAAGGGAGGTTACTGAAATATTATTTCCTGTTGCGCTATAGAACTGGAGCAGAGAATAAACATACCGATGACTTGCCGGGCTGGTTCCACATCTGCCGTAGCCTCTTCCAGGGATGCCAGCAGCATGGCTGATATCTGATGCACGGATTCAATGTTGCTAAACAAGCTATCCACGGCCAGCCCATCAACCTGAAGAAACACAAACACTGAGCCAGCGAAGAAGATGCCTTGCTTCAGACACTTTCTCCCACTCCACATCATGTGATAGGCCACCCCAGGCTGCTGCCATTCGCTTCTCCTGTAAACATTCCCATTTGGGGTTTATAGATAAATATGCAATTTTAAAAAATGCTTATTTATTTATGCATATAAGAGCTGGGGTATAGGCCAGATTGCGAGGGGTGAGAGGATGCACCAGTGACGAGTGGGGAGCAAAAGAGTAAGATCTACTGAAAGACACTGCTGAGGGGAGCAGCATGGAGACAGGAGAGGCCTGCTGTGCCATGTGGGTCACTCCATGGCTGGGGATGGAACTCATGCTGCAGTGGCTGGTGATAGCTTAATATCACTGAGACTTATCACCTGCACCCCCAGAGAGCTCCCCAACAGATGTGCACTTTTTTAGCTCTTCTCCTTTGTTTTGGCTAAGTCTTAATGAGTTGGGTATACATCTACATTGTCCTGTGAGGCCCCGGAGGGAGACATGGGCAGCGAGTGGCTGCTCCCGTGACTGCCTTCAACACGGCACGGTCCGGTGCCGACACTTCCTGCTAATACAGCGCAAGTCCGAACGTACTCTAGGAAGTCCTATTTTCAAAGTTCTTCCCAAACCACAGATGTTCTAAGTGTGATGATAAGTAGATGTGCTGAGTTGCTCCCTGCTTTTTTTCTTAAAAGAAATACAAATGAAAATCTTTGCCAACATGTTTTGCTAATTAAAGACTCATTGTATTTTGTAACTTCAAGTATGCCCTCAAAAACCAGTGCAATTATCCCTAGATCTCGGAGCTGGTGCCTCTAATTCATTTACTCATCCACCCTTTCATTAAATATTTTCTGAGCACCTTCTATACATCACAAGAGTTATACTGAGAGCCAAATGCTATCACAGGACTTGGAGAAGGAGAGAGGGATGTCCAGCTACTCTGAGTTATCTACGCAGAATACTGCAAGATTCCTGTCCTCACTTTTGCTGGGTCTCACTCAAGATCTTTCTTTGGAGTTTAAGTCGTATCTTCTTTCATAACTAAATAGTATATAGTTTCAAGGAGGCCAGGTTGGTATAGACACCTTTGGCTGCCATGGGACAGGGAGCAGGTGTCTTTATCCATGGCTTACTCTATGTGGCAATATAAGTGAGTAGCCAGGTCATTAGTGAACATGTCTTTTTTTTTTTATTCTGAGGAGCTTTAAGTACTTCATATTTATTATTCCACATATCATTCCAACTTAGCTCTGTAAAGGAACCCATTTTATGACAGGGAAACATATGCAGAATGAAAAAGTGAAAATTATGGCCTTCAGGATAGAGTAGGAACTAGAAATTGATCTTTTAGTTCTATGCCTTAGTCCATTACTGGCAAATACTAATAATAGGATACTTTGTCATTTCATTTGGGTTTTTTGTTAGTTCTTGAGTTTTCATTTCAATAATTTACTTCCCAAGGTCAGAAACCTTATCTCTTTAATTTAGATATTTAACTCATTTAGCAAGGAGCTAATTCTATGTTCTCTATAACCTTAACTTAATGCAATGAATGCAAAATAACAAAAATATAGGTTTTAATTCCATTTCTTCCTGAAGGACAGAAGGGATCAAAAATCAGTCTGTCTGGTTTCAATCGCTGTGTCACCATGAGCCCAAGGGAAGTCTGGATCATAAAATGAATTCACACTCAGCTGCTGCTGTGCAAGAACCAAACAAATGTCTGGTCCAAATACTCTTTCAAACTAGCAGATGATTTAATGACTACTGGTATAAACTCAAGGAAGCAATTTATATACATTTATTAATTTATACACATTTATTACCAGAAATAGGCAAGGTGCTTTGACCTTAAGTAGACCTGTATTTTATGTAGACTAAAATTAATTTTTTGAAAAAAAGTAGGCTAAGTTTTCACTATTCTAAGCAAAGTGAATATATAAGTCAAATGTACAAAACAGAAAACTTAAAAGCCAATGTTTCTGTTGTCAATTTAATCCTTTGCTTTACTGGTATATTCACCACAGACTATATTTCAAAAAGCAAGTTCCCATAACATTTGAAATATTCCTGAATTTACAGCTGCATGTACTGCAAAAGTCCCCAGGTATAAATGTGTAAGGAAAACATACCCATAGAATTACAGGACTCCAGAGGCTGTACTCACTGGTATAGAATTACCTGGCACCGGGAGCACCTGACACTCACTGTCTGCAAAGCTTTCGTGCATTTTCCTGCTACCCACACTCAAAAATGCTTTGGCTTCATGTTCCTTTACAACATTCAACCAGTCTGAGGTGGAATGTGGTCATGACATTGCCTGTCCAGCAGTCCTGCCCATTTCTCTGCTCCTTCTGTTGCTTGGGAAGGCACGGCAGCTCTAAGGCTCTAGTGGACCTGGGGGGTCCACAAATGGCAAAACTGACCGAGCCGGCCACAGCAATGGGCCCAGGATGGACAGGTTCCCCAGCAGAACCAATGAGAATCGTCAGTGATTTTTAATCAGTGGTTGGTGGAAGGCAGATGAAGCCTGGACTGTCGACTCTAAGTATAGGAGTTTCTGTCTGCAGCACCCATCTGTGGAGAGAGTTTGACTGTGATAAGTCAACAGAGAAGGAAGCTAAGCCTGTCATCATACTAGCACCTGAGTCCAGTCTTGCCTAAGACTTTCCAATTGAGAAGGCAACATCTGTGTTTTTATTGAAGTTAGTTTGAATTTTAGCTGTAGGGGACTAGCACACTTCTATTTCTAGCCCAAACGTCACTTCCTCTAGAATACCACTGGGTAGAACTGTGGACTGGCTTAAAACAAAACATTCTCTCTTCTTCATGTCCATGACTTCTGCTTCGCATCACTTGCTGCTGGTACTAAGGCCCAGTATCTTCAGTGCGGGTGTTTATCAATGTACCTGTCTCTGTGTCAGATCCACGTGTTCTTCCGGGACATCTGTCTGTAGGAGTGATTCCGATGCCCCGTTTTGTCTAGTGCCAGGCTGTGGCCGTGTCTACTTACTCAATACAAGTTTGACAATTTGAACTAAATCACCACGCTTTAAGTGACCTATTTGTCCTGTGGGAGCTATAAATAAGTGTTTTTTGTAATTATCCTCTGGGACTCTGAATAATAAGCATGCAGAGATCGAAAGTGGCATAGAGAGAAAAATCAGAATTACCTCATTTGGCTATTCAAACTATCTTATTACTGACTTTTTATAATTTTCCACTTAATTTTATCTGTAAGACAGACTGTTGTGCCCAGTTCAGCCATTCGTATACTGGGAAAACTGCTGACGTAGGCCAATCCTCCTGCTCGGTCTGTGCTTAAGAAATCACTGTTTATTGTTTTCTGCTTCCACCCCACGGTGCTCAGCCTACACCCATCACAGGGAGGACTAAGCAATCATCCTTGGGTGTTGGGCAGGCATACGAGCACCCTTAAAATGAGCACTGAGAAGTCTAGGAACAAACTCCTTTTGAAAATAAATTAAGCTATTATCACAAAGGTAGTTTATGTTCACTGCAGAAAAATAAAGATGGGCAGATAAGCAACAGAGGGAAAATACAAGGCCTATGACTATACGGTGGAGCAATCACCACTGACGCTCTGAGCAATGTCCTTCCATGTGGCTTCCCTCTGCGTACATCTGTACAAAATATTCGTGCCTTTCCATAACACTTTCACTTTGATTTTAGCTTAGCATAACACAAACACCTTCATATTATCAACTTTCTTCAATGGCATCATTTTGAATGCCAGTATTATGTAGGAATACTGTCGTCTACTCTGTCATATGGAAGTGTAGACAAATTGCTGCTTTCACTCATAGAAATACTTCTCATGAAACTTTGATCTCCCCTGTTATAATGATTATTTCATTATAATAACTTTTGTAAGTATAGTGGCTAAGTTAAAGTTGGTATAAAGATCTCTGTAAAACCCTGGCAAATGTTAGCAGTAATTATCAACATTTTCCCTTCTAAGTAGCCAACAGAGTAGACACCACTGGGTATAACTGTCCTGACCTCAATTTAGAAATACATTCCTAATCTTCCAATTAGATGACTGAAATCCAAGACTGAAGTCCCAGATATCTCAACATAACACACTACCATGGAGAAAGGAAGAAGGTCACTCACATTGCCTTGGAATGCCAAGGCAGTTAGTTGCCACCACCCACGTGCTTCTCTGGAAACTTCCCCTAGAAGAGACGTGACTGTTTCTGTTTGGTGCGGCTGGCACTGGATCTAGGTCCAACTTGAAATTACCATACTCCAAACAGCAGGTGTTGGAATTCCTAAGGGCAAATCCCCCCAGGGTGCCCACGAATCTGTCCACTGACCCCTCGTATAAAGGCAGAACTGACCTCTGCTATGGTGAGGCCTGGCGACAGGCTGCTCTGCTATGAACGTCGAAACATAAAAGTGAAAGATATCAAGACTGTAACAAGTAAGAGGAGAATGGAAAAGAGCTGAAAATGCCCTTTAAAGAAACAAAAGATAGAAGACCGTCCCTGGTGGCTCAACAGGTTAGGTGCAGCACTGCGAGATGGCTGCAACCGCTTCAGCATGAGTTTTATCCCTGGCCCCAGAGGCAACCCACGGGCACGGCAGACCTCTCCTGACCCACCCGCTGCTCCCTTCAGCAGTGTACTTATCAGTCTGCCTGTTCTGCTCCCCGCTCTGTCTCTGGTAAAACCTCTCACTGTCCCTGCACCTCTGGCCTGTACCCCAGTTCTGTATACATAAATAACTTTTTAAAAGAATAAACAACCGGTGGAATCCCAGTGAGAATCCTCTAGGGGCACTCTGAGAGGGAAGAGTCAGGTCCTATTTCATATTTTAGTGGGATGCTTGTGAGAAAAAAGGGGATGCTTGTGAGACAGAAATTGGAGCAAGTGGAAAAAGAGGATGTTGGCAGAGACCTTGACAGCCACCGGGCAGGCAGGCTGGGATAATTATCTAATTACTATGGCATTTGCTCAGA